ACGACAGCCCGTTGTGCGCGCATCTCGACAACTTTTTGTTTATTATTTTCAAAATAGATTACTCCTTCAACAATTCCACCACTGTTAATTGGTGCACAGTTTTCCGGATAAGATTATGCATCCAGACAGTTTTGAAATATGAAAAATGCCAAATAAACCGACCAAAACGAGCCCATCCGGGTGAAAATCTGACGCGCATGCGCGTCATGCTGTCGTCAACGTGTTAATGAGATTTGGTGACAAATTCCCACGATTAATTCTTATTTCGACAAGGGCTTATGCTCAAACTTCATCCCGAAATTCAATAAGAAACTGAGATTTGAGGACAGCAAAAATTCTGCAGCAGTGTTTGGAGAAAGAAGTACTTTTAAACTGAAGTCCAAACAAAAGAATCACTAAGCCTTTACAGCATAGAGCTGCAATTGTGAGCTGATAAGCCAAAATGTGAAGGGTGGGTGTTAAATGGGCTTCCGTGAAAAAATCAAGGAATGGCCAGAAACCTGAGAAAATGGACCCCCTTCATGGCGTTGGTTTGAAGAGCAGGGACGCGAAATATCGCAAAGATCCAAAGAAAATAAGCACCGGCATCGCGGAACCGTCTGTGATTCTTCCTCCAGGCAGCCGCGTATCTCTACTCTGGTACTTACTAAGGCTGAAGGAGAAGGGTTGGTTGATGGGACCCCTCACACATCCGCGTTTCTTCTACCTTCGCGGAAGTTAGGGCAGCGCAACTTTCAAAAAATAGTGTGTTCCAGGGGGATTCCAACTCCACCCACCACTTGTCAGCTAGTCCCACAAGAAGTGTTTAAGTCTCTGCCCCCTTCAGGCAAATGCTATAATCGCCCCGCTCGTAGGTGGAGGGCGTGTCTGAGGACTGTCTGAGTGTTTCGAGGCACCTTTGGTGCATTGTCACGCCACTAATAGCGCGGCTCCCGTCGCGAGGGTGGTACCTATTGTCTAGTTGGACTTTTCTCAACACTCCCCACTATTCACCTTTCTCTTTCATTAGCATCCACTTTATCGCCATATCCTTAACTGAATGAGACTTCCAAATCAACGAAACAAACAGAAGCAATGCGTAAAATTTTATTAATTATTAATGTAACAGACTTGGTGCAATATTTGTTCTTTTAACCCATCTTACAAGTATTATGTGTCGTTGTTTTCATGACATCCAACGCCATATTTTAATTCGCTAAAATAAGTCATAATTATCTTGGAGTTGATCAGTTATAGCGCTGCGATCGCCAAGGCCATGCAAACTGCTCATCTTGTGCTATAAAGATTTTTCTGACAATCAGCCGACATCAACAATAGCAACAAGCTCTACAAACCACCGACTCGGAGGAGAGTTCACGATTAAAGGCAAAAGTCTGGCTCAATATGGGGTACATTATGGCAACAGAAGCTGAAAAGAAACCGTCGACAAGGCCGAAAACGAAAACCCCGCTCCCACTAGAGTGAAGGAGGCTTGCTTGGGAGAGAGCCACGTCCAAACAACACCGCTTCCGGAGGTTGGGCGGGCATAGCTGATGCAACGAAGCTACATCGCTGTAAGTAGTAGGCCAGAGGCCTTGTCGCGCGCAATCTCGAGTCAGGAGCGTGGCATCACCCCTCTGAGCGCTTGTCGTGGCTTTAAAGGATTCCCTCCAATATATGGCTCGGTCGAAGCACCCCTGGGCTGGTCGTTTACTTTGCCGCAGTGGTGATAGATTGAACCTCCCAGTTACAGAGTGGCTCCCATGAAACACAAAAGGTAGCTAGAGACCGCCGAACTCACTGGGCGGACCCTTCTTTATAGCCATAACCCCAGATGAGTTGCGAAGATCTATTCTGAGGAGGGATATGATAACCCAAGATAAGCCGTTGTCGCATCTAAGTGCACGACAATGGCGCTGGGGCCTTACAAAGTGTTATGATGGCGACTAACATTAACTTGCGGACGAGATACCTCGTGCACACCCCATGACACGCAACGTGGATTACGGCGTAGCGGCTAATTCAAATACGCGCGGGCTAGTGGAGCATGCATCAAGCAAGTTGGGAAAACTCGTCCGACACGCCCCTCTCTCGGTCGGACAACTTGAACTCAGTCCTTTAAACCGCTTCGATTTGAAGCTCTCGCCTGCGCTCTCTCGCTTAAACAGCGCTTATGATTACTGTGATCTTACATATTCAAACTTTGCCACAATATAATTGGCTCACCCACTCCGGAGTCCCTCCTCCCTCCAAGGCTTAGTCCTAGAGCTCATCATACTTTATTGCTTGAGATTTGGAGCCAAGCCAGGCGCAGTTCTCTGATTGTCTGCGCTCTGGCCTTTCGTGGTAGAGAACGTAGGGGAGAGTCCAGTTGTTAATATTGGGTGCGTAGCGTTTCTCCTCCTGGGGTCAGGTCACCTAAAATTGAGACGCCGTTCATTCGCTCGGAGCAAGCTTAGGACTAAGCCTAGGCCCAATCATAGGCTTAGGCATAAGCCAATGTGTAAGCATAAGCCTTAACCTAAGTCTAAACCCAAACTTAACCTTAAGCTTCAATGATCGCGCAACTGTGGTGACCTGACCCCAGGAGGAGAAACGCGCACGTCTTCCAGGGAATGCGACCCACAATGGATGCGAACGTCTCCATGTGAATAATTCAGTCATACCACCGCACAATCAACTTACTGACACTGAATACCCCACCCAATTTGGCCTGGACTTGCTCCCTTCAAGTTATATTTTAGTGGAATAGCGAGCCAAATGGTATGCGATCGCAACGAAATGTGGCAGAAGTTAGAATTATCGATCCGCTGTGAGAAACTCGTTTAGCTGAACTGGACATCAAGGTCATCAAAGAAAGTACGTAAACAAGTTGTGATCTGGAAAGCTTAAACTTTTTCCATTGACTTACTATTTAATGAAGGTTCTTATGCGGATCCACGTCTCACGGCAGTTTTCCACGTTGTCGTGAGTAGCCCTTAGCCATAACGGAGCCGCCTGCAAGTAATCCCCCAAAGGTCCCAGTGTGCAAAAACGTAAATTTTTGATGGCCTCCAGGGAAGTGTTTTGGGGAAATCTTTTACCACAAAAAAAAATTCCCTACCCGATTCACTGCCTTTTCGCAAACAGCTTTGCCATGGGTTATGGGAACCGTTCGATCGTCTTCTCCATGAATTACCAATACAGGAAACACGAATGCCTCCTATCTGAAAAAGAACACAATGGACGGCAGTACCGATAAAAATAAATAGAGATGAGCTTAGAAAACCCTGTGTAGGGGGCTTTTTGCTGAAAAGGCGGCTTAACCCTTGTTTATTTTTTCCATTTTCAGTTTAGCGCAAGAATAATTTGGAGATTGGCCGAGAGAAGTGCAACGTCAAATAATCCAGCTTATTCGAGTGCCTCAACAAATCCTTGTCGATACAGCCAGATAAAGTGACTTGAACCGGAAACTCTTCGGAATACGCCACGTACTGGACTTCCGTGCAGAATCATAGGAAATTGAATGCTCAAACGTACGACCTGGCGTATGTGAAATGGTAAGTGGGGAAGCTGTCCAAAGTTCAAGCCAGTGTCTTTGCCATCCCAGGAAACCCGGTTCCAGGGACCACTACGGATTTAACGGCTTGCGCACTTCGGACAGAAGTCCACGTAGGGAAGAGTACCGCGGCACCTCTATTTGCTACTTATGACAAAAAGTGGATAAATGAAAACTCACCTTGTCATAAGTGCAGAAACGATCCGCACAACATGATCGTTGCTGAAAAGGCTTCTTGAAGCAAGCCCTTTCCCACAGCAGCACTCTCAGTACAGAAGTGGGCGGAGATTGCAGAACGATCCCTGCAAAAAAAGGTTGTTTAAAGAGCTCAGCTAGGAAATTTTTTCGTTCTCGTCAAAAAATTGATCGCTTCATTGTTCTCTGCGATTCGTATAACTCTAAATTCTTCATAGTTTCATATGAGAGGTTTGAAATGATCTCTCAGAGGGTGCAATCCAAGTAATAAGGGCACGCCTTTTTTGGATACGGTAGGTGAGAAATGTATGTAAATGGGGACTGCTGCCCGCTACTAGGACGTGACGAGACACTATGAAGTAACTCAAACATTCCAGCTTTTCAAGCATGTCAAGCAACTGCCCTCCCCTTCCCAACCCCCTAGATTGGCTACACCCCCCCTGGCTCACGAATTTCCTCATTTTTCCCGAAAAACATAGTAGGGGGCAGCAGTCCGCACTGTCATTCATTTGAGCCTACCGTATTCAAAAAATATGGCGTGCCGGCTCCCACTTGTGCATCCTCACGGAGGAGTAAAAAGCAATAAAGGAGTAGGATTAACTCACCGGCAGGAGGCTGTGAAATGGAGCACGCTAGATGGACGCTGGCGAAACATCCTATTGAATAGCCTATGAGAACGATTTGATCTGCCTGTATACCGCGTTCGTTCACCAAGTACTAAATGAACAGTTGCTAAGTTGATCAAGAAAATGCTAACATTTGAAGGCGTCATCCCTATCCCTCGGTCATTAGATCGAATCTTCTAACCATAAGTTTGCTGAGCGCCGCTACCGCAGAGGTACAGCCGCTTTTGTTATCCATAGGTGCATAGAAAGGGCTATAAATGGCCTGAAAGTTGCAACCTGTCAACCGTCAGTCCTTTTGCAAAAATTTTGCGAACATCTGCCCCCCCCCCTTCTCCCCTTTTGAACAAGAGGGGCCCATGAAAGCAGCATCAGTCTTGAAGGCCGCTCCCAATTACGATCCTCCTTCCAACTTCTCCGACACCACACAGCATGGCTGTTCTATAGGATTTGTTGTGACCATGAGACCAGTCGACACAGCCCAACTCTCCCCGTTTCTTCTCTTCAAAACTGGAGGGGTGGGGGTTGGAGTGGGTAGGAGGTAGGGTAAATGGGTGTCGTGAAGCAACAAATCCACCGATTTCGCAGTTTTCACTATTTTCGTGGAACTTCACGAATTCGTCCAGAATATCCCTCCTAACACAGTTCCTTTGAAACGACATCTACCAGCCTCATTACCAATATGATAACCTGTGGCTCAATCCTCAAAACGACCCCTTCCCGAAAATCGCAAAGCGACTCCTCTTTTGAATAGTTCGATCCTCGCGTAACCCTGGTTGCACCCTAAAAGGATTTGTTCCGCGGAATTGCAAATATGGAGGCCGTCACAGTTCCGTCCAAAAGCAGATTGAAAAAGTAGGGCCAGAAAAAAATGACCGAAAGACAAGAATGACCACCTCACTTACGTCATAGACAGCCCGAACATCGGCCTTCACATTATTTTCACTTGCATGTCCCGAACTGATACCGTACCCACTATAGTCGTATGAATAGACGTCACATTTGTGAACTCTGTAATTGGAGAAATGCACACTAGGGGCAAAAAACATCAGGCAGCACTACTGATTTGCGAAAAGCACAAAAATTCACCAGATTAAGCCGAAATATCAATGATTTATACTACGAGGTTTGAGTCTCTACCGAGACCCTGAAGGGTGAAGCCTGTCAAATCGTTGCGTGGCTCCCTTCTTTCAAAAAACGAGAAGAGCGTCGGGTGCAGACCATACACCACAAGTGACGACGGCTTCAAGTAAGTCTGGTTCATAGTGATAGCTGATTTTGGTAAATGATAGTTGTAATTAGTGACAACTGATAGAATACAACTGCAACAGGCTAATCATTTCATTGGCAAAAAACATTTACATTTTGTGGAGGCCGTCGTCACTTGTGGTGTATGGTCTGCACCCGACACTTTCTTCTTTTTGAAAAGAAGGTACCTTAGTTTTTTCATGTTTTTTTTTGTCGCCAAGGCCTAGACTGTAAATGACAACTGCAGGTATTCAGCTCTCAACATTTGTTAGGAGAACCAATGGAATGCAGGGGACACAGCAGTGTTAGTACGGTTTGTGAGCAACACCTGACGTAATGGCATAAAGCCGGCTCGTGCGCGAGGTCACAGTGTCCTGAAGCTCCATTCAAGCAAGTGAGCGCTGTCATGGCATCATATCGACACTTTTTGAACAACTGACCCATAGGCTCTGCCAATATATGCATAGCGTTGAAGGAGCTGACAGGAACAAAATGTCCCACCAAGATGGGTGCTATTTGCTGCAACTATTCGAACGGCTTGAACTGACTTGCCACTCTATTATATTAATTTGGTACTCCAACCAGATGATCGCTCAGGTCACTTGCGTTTCGGATGTGAGTAAATGATTGAATATCTGGGTTCACTTCGCTGGGCTTTGATCCGTACACATGCGATATACTAAATTATTAAAGAAGTCCGGAGATCACACCAAAAATTACAATGGTAGAATATATCACAGAAAAGGTTACATTGTTCCAATACTGTCCGGAGAACACAAACGCACTCAAACGTCGTTCAATGTCAGTAGCGCACGGGATGTGATGTCCGATACGGAGGGCTGCTTTTTGTTTCGAACACTTTGCTTAAAGAATATAGATTGGTTTGATACTTGATTTTGATCCTAAATATCTAATTCGAGATACCTTTCTAGATATCTCAATTGGAAAATAGGGCGCTACCACAATATACGGGGGCAACCTCTACGACTAAGCCTAGGAGGGGCAGGGCTCCGTGGAAAACGAAAATAGCTAACGCACCTTGTGGTCTCTCTAACCATGCCTAAGGCTTAGTTCTGTTCACAACAGAAAAGATACGTTTTACACCACGCGTCTAAAACTCACTTCCACCATCAATGCCCGTATATTGCGATAGCGCCAAAAACAGTAAGGATTCCAGCGCTCATATCCCTTGAGGTTCACAAACACTGCGACTTTGTTCTCCCTTTAAGAGTAGAGTATCCTCTAAAGTGTCCCATCTATGAAGAATGCGCTAATTTGTAAAAACTCATGAGGAAGGACAGAGCGAAGACTCACATCAGTCGTTAAAGCAATCATTTTAGATTTAGGATCACAGCGGCAAAAATCTATGATGTTATAGAAAAGCTGAGCTAAAGTATGACAGTGGCTCCATACCAGGTTGGTTATCCGCAGAATACGCGTAGGGTTCACTAACTAAAATTAACTCAACTAAGACCCACCTGCCCAATCATGCCCTTATGAACCCGATTTCGAATTTTGCGCACATTTTCATTACCATTTTCATAAAGGGTTAATGCCACATCTCATGCCGCACCTCATGCCGAAAAAAGCAATGAATCACTTTAAGCCTATTCATAAGGTTGAAGGACACCACAAGTTCGAAATTCATGTCATTTCGCAGAAAAATTGCAGTGATTATTGTTTTTCTAAAATTCCTAGGAACGTACTTATTGGCTCTATAGATCTTTGGGATCTTTTTCTTTCGCTCAGCAATTTCAATAGCCTCTTGTCGCCCTTCGATTTCCTTGCGTTCACGTGGCGGGACATTGTCCACATAGAAAAAGTATTCGTTTGATGGTGGCCATAGAGCTATCTCAAACACAGGACGATCATATGAGCTTACAAGCAGCAATCACGATGGTTGGAGGATGGAGCAATTCGATAACGAATTGGACCGTCATCAAGACCGGACCAGAATCCTCAGCGCGCCGCAGGCGTGGGTATCCATCTTTCAATAACCTCAAAAATCATGCTCAATTGGCGGTTATCATAACTCTCTCCATCCTGCTTTATGGAGCGTTCATACGGTGGTGATCGGAAGTTATCGACCTAGGCGAATCAGGCGAACGTGTGCATAATAAATCTACAACATATCATAATCATACAAACAAGGGTACTATACCGAAAGCCATTTACCATGCTTTTGAGCTGAAGATTGACATCGACGCACTCTCTAGGCCGTGAACGAGCGGCAACATACATATTACCCTCGCGATTGACAAAGCGCTAAATCTAGCTAAACTGGTAGTCGCCCACTCGCCCAGTCGCCTGGTCGTCAAATCGCCTCCTCGCCAAATCGATACGTATCCTTTTCTTATCGCCTACACTCCTACTCGCCTAACTGAGTAATCGCCTATACGATGCGCTACTTTTCTTTTGTATCGCCTAATCGTCTAGTCGCCTAATCGCGCGTATGATCGCCAACTGTGAACGCTCCATAGTTCGGTCACGCACGTTAAAGTGAGGAATCGATTGGCTTCCTGTGATTCTCTGTACTTGTCATCACGATAGCCAAGTGGAGGACGCAGTACGACCAACAGCAGACGCCCTGTCCGCCGCTTACTAAAAAGTCGCGTGAGCGGTGATTATTCCTCGTCGCTTTGAAAACAACAAATTGCATGATAGGACAGAAGAAAAAAGATTTTGCTCAGCAGTAAAGACGGCTCATGTAGAAAGTGCTAAATGGCCAGGAAAAACAATCCAATAAGTCGAAAGAAAACCGAAGGTATCAGCCGCTCTCTCTAGATGTTGGTCACTAAGGAGTATCAGACAAATAAATAAATAAAAAATAAAAATAAATAAAATAAAATAAAATAATAAATAAAAATACAGGCGGTAGATTTACAGAGTCATAATCTCTTCGGAAGGACCAAGTCATTTAATGGTCTATCCAGGTCTTCATTCAACCACAATCATGTAATCAAGGATACGACAAGAATTCGCATACACTGCTAACTGTTTACGCCCCATTCGAGGTGGAGCTATGACAAAGGGGCGGGGCTTGTTGCATTCTTACTTCAGCTACGAGTTTCTGAGAGATTTTCAGTGCACCCACTCCAGTAGTGCACAAACCTTATCCTATTTATTTACACCATGTGTAAGCATGCGCTAGCAAGAAAACTGTCTTCAAAAGAACGCTCGTACCTTGAACAGGAGCCACTTGGTGACTGGACAAATACAGTAGCGCTCCAATCGGCGATGTCTGGAAAAAGATAACCTCAAGACCAGAAGGCCTGAACGTTTCAACACTTTGATGAGTTTACTTGTGCCGTTCGATCTTTTTCAGAAAATATCGTTCGCATCGTATTGTGTGATCGTCCGATGGTGGACCAGCTCGACGCGAAGGTGTGTGGACTGAAAACTGGTGTTTCGGTCGGAATTCTTTCGTGTTCTTTTTGGAGCTTCTTTGACGTACCTATCACTTCTTGGAACACTATCTGAGGGTTAATTTATGTATTCACTACTTTGGGTTATCTGACAGTCAAGTATTACTGAAAGACCCACTTCACGATGGGTTCAGATAGACCAATCCCTTTTTGTGGGTAGGAACGAGCCGTTCGTGAAAGTTGCAAGTATCTCGCAATTCGAATGTGTGCGACACTTAACACAGCTAGGGATAACAGGGATGGTGGTGACAGGCTTATGGTGACAAGTTTCGCGGAATTTCTCATCCCAGGTGCCAAAAGAGTTTGATGATCGCTCCGTTTATGGCATTTTCTTGTGAGATTTTTAGCCATCAAAACTATTCGGACTCAAAAAGTACTTCAAGTTCCGATTTCCACTTAAACCTTCATTTAACGAAAGAACAAATTTTGAGGACCATTTGAGATTTTGTGCTCTTCCCCAGTCCCACCATTTCTCACTATCCATTTCGTAGAATCTTTCATTGCGCGATACAACAGGCACGAGCCAGACTGAAAAATCGAACTTACCGAATTTGGCCCGGAACGA